ACAGCAAAATTCATGCTGGTCGCTGCAGATGCCGCAAACATATCTGCATCTGTATGGCCAAGAGTTTATCTGGTTGCTGTGGTTGTCTGCTGCCTGTTGCCAGTTGTCAGTTGCCGCAGGTGCAGGTGCAGGCCTCCATCTCTGACTCCGATTCCCATTCCCAGTAGTAGTCAAATTTCATCAAACATTGGCTTAATTTGTATTGCATGTGATTTCTCCTGCCACGCTTCGACATGCCGACAGATGGACCGCTAGACAGAGGGACGCACGGCCAGGCGTCAGTCTGTCCAATTCTCTGCTGGCCGCATCATCATCAGCCCGGGCATCAGGATCATTGGCTACCTCTTGCCAGGGTGTCAGTCATGGCCAGTTGCCTGGCCTTTGTCTTTGCCTTTGTTTCCCGTCGTCGTCGGCTGCCTGTCGCTGCGCACACCCTGTGCGTACATCTCTGATAGAGGGTAGTATATAGTACTTGTCTCTATGTGAGCAGACGGAATATTTTAAATTTATATTTTAAGTGGACTCTTTATGTGTCTAGCTTGAGTTAGAGATCAATTATTTTTAAATTGAGCATTCATATAATCTACTAATGATTTGAACTCATATAAAATGTTTTGGTTTACCTAATAGCGACCATTCTATTGAATGAATTGGATTTTAAGACAAATATACAAATACAAATATTATAATGACAATTTTTTTGAATCCCTAATTGATAATTGTCAGGTCTTAAAAATTAAAATATTATAATTAATTAAGTAAACACATTGAATGAAATGAAAATTTATTAAACTATTTACTCTTTTGAATAGCTATCAATAAATAATGTTTTCTCAATATTCCTTCGCAAATTATAAATGCTTTCAATAAAAAATGTTTGTAGGGTCAATAAATATCGCAGTTTTCCTCAGATGCGTTTATCTGCAATCAAATCAAATCAAAGTACAAAAAAGTAAATTATCTAACATTATTAAATCTAACAGATTCTTAACAGATTGTGAGCCTTTGCTTAATCATCAACTATTCATGTGCTAACCTTTTTGCTACCAAGTCCAGGGTATTTGCCAGTCAGTCATTCTCAGCGTGCACAGCATCTGCACGCCACAGTTTGGCTATGGAATGCTCTAGCTACCGCTCGGCGCTATTCTATGCATATTTTTGACTCAGCTGTGGGCATTGAACCCGCCGCGCAGCCAGTCAACGGCTCATTAACTCAAACGCCGTATCATATCAGCTGCATATTTGCAGTCGCATTCTCATTTGCATTAGCATATATATTATACTAGATACTCGTGCTTCGACGTTTGTTGCTTCTCTCTGATTTTTGGCTGAAAATATAGACAATACTTTATGATTGAGAATTTCGTCTGGCAATTGCGTCACTCTGTGCTCTTTCGCAGTTTCATTCGGCTTCAGAGTTTGATGCGCTCTGCTCGCTGCTCGCTCTTGCCCTAGGGACAGTATTTGCTTATACCTATATATTATCTTATGAATGCATATATTGTAGCGGTAAATACTAAGCACGTGCGTTTTTTTATGGCCATAATGCTGGTGGATCTCACAGAGTGTGAACTTTGCCAGGACTATAAAATGAGCTTAGCCCTGAATGCATAAGATAACGGATAATGAGCTAAAAGACGAGATATAGCTATCTCTTATCAGACTTTATTGTTATAGTATACAAATCTATATATAGAAAAACTGTTCGCTTTCATGACTAAGACAACAGACAACATGTCTATTTCATTAAATTTTTTAGAAGATACATCTATTTTTAAATTGTATATTTTTGAAATTATGCACTTAATAAAATTTATATTATACTTTTATAGTCTAATAATAAAATATATTATAAATATAAATATATATTATAAAATATATATTTTAGAATAATATATAGCAATATATATTGCAGTACATAATTTTATTCCAATATTAATTTTCATCTCAGTAATTATTATAATTTTAATTTATTTTACTTTCAAATATTGATGGATTGATTTTAGCTAAATTGTTTATAAACTTATTCATTCATTTGTTTTACTGGGTTTTTATTTTTTATGTAAGTTCTCACTTAATAAATTTTAAATTATTTACAAACTTTTTTTTTTTTTTTTGCGTAAATAGAATTTATTCTTGGCAGACTCTGTTACACTTTTATTTTATATATTTTTTATGATTTATATTAACATTTATTTATTAACATATTTAATACTTTTCCAGCTGTTTATCTTTATTTAAAAAGTTGTAATTGTCTTCGTAATGATTTATATGCTATTCAAGAAAAACATGAACAAGTTTTCTATGAAAATAGAATTTCCGCTCTAACTAAGGCTTGCCCCTTGCCGCTCTTTTGATTTAGCTTTGAAAATTTGTTGATGTTCGAGTGCATTGTAATTAAGAGGGCTCTATCAACGGAAATTAATTGAATTGTAGATTCTCGGTGAAAACCTGTATGAAATGCATTTCACAGCAGAGATTATCTGCTGCATGCAAAAAGGGCTATGGTCTGATTAGGCCTTAGCTGCTGACCTACTGGCAAACAACTAGCTCACGTATCGATATGCATAAATTAATATCCAATCAGTGCGAGACATAAACACACACACACAGACATACGCACACTCACACCAAGACAGGCACACAGATGTTTGCACAGGTGTCTTGCATTGATCGATAGGTGGGTGCAAGTGGTGGCTGCCTCCACTTAGCAGGCTATATTATTAATTAGTTGCCCTAATTGCAACCGCGACACTCCTGCCCCCATTGAGTAGCACCTGCCTGTTGAGTAGCACCTGCAATTAGCAGCCCTTGCTGAGGCAGAGACAGACCCAGATAGGGGGAGAGAGAGGCAGAGGGAAGCGGTCACATTGCTCGACTTTGGCGTCAGCGGCGACAGCGAGATGTGGACAATGCGCGCCGGCATGTGACACGCGGCCACCACACGCATTGCACCACGCCGCACCACCGTCCCGAAGACCAAATCGAGTGGCGCTAAAAATAACTAAGCCTAAGCCCCATATGCAGACACAATACAGCCAAAGACGACAAACAGAAGCCGAGACCCAAAGGCAGACCGAACCGCGGAGTCCAAAACTGAGTCGGAAAGAGAAACTGAAACAGAAACTGAAACAGATGCAAATTGAAACAAACATGGAAACTAAAATTAAAACAAACCGCACTAAGCCCACCAAGCGAAATCTTCTCTCTGCCTCTCTTTCTTTGACTCTCACTTCACTTCTCTCTATTTCGTACTCTCTCTCTCTCTCTCCCTCCTTGTCTCTCTGTCCACCTGTGTTACGCATACCTTCTCGTTCTCTCAAATGCACCACAGTCAAACTTCATAGACGTGGAATTTTAATTTACCACAATTGTGGTACTATTAATTATTACGCAAGTATATATAATTTAAATCGTTTAAAATATTTGATATTTGGCTTATTGTAAGAAAGGTTTTAATATACATATATAATTTTTTAAATATATTTCTTCGCAATATATTTTAATATTTAAATTTGATTGTTATCTTTTGTTAATTAATGAAACAATTTTTTATAATTGACAATATATTTTGAGCTAAAAATGCAAAATACTTAGTATCAAATATCATATTCTATTTAACAACAATATATATATCTATGATATTTGTAGATGTTGTTATACAAATGTTATCTAAATTAACTGAGGAGAGAGTACACAACTGCCATGGTAATGCTATTTCATGAGAAATATATATTATTTACCAATATTAACTATACAAATCTGTATGAAATTTTGTTTTTAAATAAAAGGTTTCATATACTCGTTTTAAAGGATATATCTTTGAGATACAGAATAACACATTATCATAGCACTTAAATGTATGATCTTCTACTGAGCAAATCAAAATGAATGATAAATGGTTGATCCAAAAATTAAACTATGTACCTATGCTGTCTTTAAATATAGCTGCATATGTTTATTATTTGTTCAGTTTATACATTATACATTAAGTATATACTATTTATATACGCTTTACCTTTGGCTTTGTATTATTTATTTCATTAATTTTCTAGTACTCTCTCTAATATATACATAACTATATACCATATATCAATATATATTTTATATCTTATCAAAATTACACTATTTATTTCGCTTATTCCAGTTCAACGCTGATTTCAATTTCAGACAGAGTCAATTATTCGAATATCAATCTATGAGATCTTCACTTGCATTTCATTGCCGTGAATCCAACACCGTTGTCACATTTAGCTAGTGACTACAGTACTGCTCTCGCAGTATCTGTGCGGCGCCTGCGTTCCACGTCCGACGTTCGGCACTCGACATTCGCAGTACGAGGCGGCGCGACTCTCGACTCTCGACTCGCGACGTTTGAGTTCGCTGCGAGTCCGTCGAGCTCTCAGTTTGGGTTGTGTGAGCCGTGAATTCAGTTGCTTTTCGTGTCTGCAACGAGTTGGATAACAATTCGGTTGGCGCTGCTGCCGCTACGCTCCGTCGCTCTGTCGCTGCGTGTCTGTATTTTGGACTGTGAATCGTTGTTTATTTCAGTTGAATCAAATATTAACAAATGCTATGGGTGCACCAGGGCAGTTGCGTTGAGTTTTCCTATGATGAACAACTAAAGCCAACTGCTAGCCGAAAAGTATCTCGTAGATACTCGCAACGCACTTTCAACACAAAAAATACCGAAATTCCAATCGCGTGTGCACAACAACGACAACAACAAAAACAACAGCAGTATAAATATGTAAAAAAAATTGATTGCAAAAATGCGCCAAGAAAATTAAGAAACAGCTTTTAATAAATAAAAAAAAGAAAGAAAATTTTAAAAAAGGAATAGGTAAAAATATTAACATACTCAAGCAAATACGCGACGTTTTTTTAATATATAAAATAAATAAAATAAAATTATATTTGTTGTTTATTTATGTTTTGTGCTCGGTAGCGTTTGTCTCTCGTTCTCTCTCTCTCTCTCTCCGTTTCAGTGTGAGTGTGTGTATCTGTGTGTGGCACAAAACAGCTGTTGGTGCAACAACAACAATAACAACCACAACTACAACTACAACAACAAAATCTCGCTGGCAGACGCAAAAACGAGAAACAGCAATAAAAATTTGATATAAATTTCATTTCAATTAAGTTTTATGCTAACGAGCAGATGAATTTCTAAGGTGAGTTATAACTGACCTTCATCACAGTTACCGTTATACCACAGTTTCCGAAACAACTTTTACATTCACAGCAGGAAACATCGCGCAAAATGTGGTATACAAATATATAAATACGAGTCGATAATTGCGCCGGTTGTATTTGAAGGGAATCAGGTTGATAAGACGGAACTGTGTGATATTTGTGCCATTCGGCGGCATTTCGAATTTGTGTTAATGAAGAGCTATAGAGAGAACAAAAAAAGAACGAGGTAAACATAACGAGAAAGAGAGCGATATTAGAGATAAAGAAAAATTGCTTTTTGTAAAAAAATAAAAAATTTATTTCTCGATATGAAGGTAAATGATAATTAATGATTGACTGACTGACTGATTGATGATTAGCGTGTGGGCACAACTTGTCTAAATTGATTTAGTATTGATTTAGTGTTGATTTGAGAAGGTATAAAGTTAAAATTTCAAAGTAAATTCAAACAGGAAATAGGCAAATAAATAAGTAATAATATTATTTAAATTAAATTTACATGGTCTTTCATCCACAATAACTGAAGCATATGTTAAATTAAAATGTTTAAGTACGACGTTTCACACCAAATTAAACATATTTATCAAATAACTAAATCATTATAGGCATTCTACTTAAATGGTTAAAGCCGGCTTTAATTTATTCATATCTTGCAGTTTTTCATAAAGTTCGTGTAATCTTTCAGTAAAATATTTGCATTGGCTAAGCCAGTGTCATTGCCTGAACCCTTTTCGATTCACTTTCATTTCACATGCCCATAAAAATCCATGCCTTTGTTCTGTGCTAAGCCGCTGCAGGGGGGCATGCCAGCTTTTAAAGGCGCATAACAATGGAGTTCGAAATCCTGTGGCTGGCATCGAGTAATTGGTGCAGTTGAAGAGCCTGTGACTAACCCACATAACTAACTAAGTTGGCAGCTTGGAGGGTCTTCCCATTAACCCTCTCCCACTCTGCCTCGCTCTCTCTCTTTGTCTCTGCCTGCCTCTCGCTCGCACTCACTGCAGTCACAGGAACAGGAACTTTATGAATACACAACATGCACACACTTTAGTTTACCAGCAACAACAGCAACAGCAACAACAGCAACGAGCAGGAACATAACAAGAGGCCATTTCTCATCGCATTGCGGGAAAAATCAATAAAAACGCACGCGACTAACGGCAAACGAAGCGACCCCTCCGCCTCCACCCCTACCTACTAAGGCCACTCGGGTGAGTCTGGGTCCTGAAGGATGCAGCTGCAACAACAGCAGCAGCAGCAGCACTTGGTAAATTGGGATTTGGCTTTTAATTAAGCGAATCACAGAACAGCAGCTGAAGACAAATTAACGCGCGCGCCTCACAAATCGCGTTTATCAAGTGCAGTTAATGCAAGCCGGCGCCAAAGCTTCTCCCTCTGCCCTCTGCTCCTGGCTAACCCCTTGGCACCACGTTGACTGCATTGAGGAGTCATTGCCATCAGCGAAAAGCGGAATTCAGCTAGCAACAACAAAGGGCGCGGGCACTAAGAAAAATTCAACAGAACGATGGAAGCATTCTAAATATAATTCACTTGTCGAAGCTGAAATACTCTAAATTAGAGCTTAGTGTCTACTGTGTTTTCATATAGATATAGAAGATATAGATGTTGCAGTAGTAGCAATATAATATTGTTATCTGTTATAGATATAATATAGATCAGTTGGCTGAAACCATTTCACGTTTTCTGTTTGCTAAAGATATATTATTCATTCTGTAGGCTAGTTATAATAATCAATCTGTTAGCGAAAGATGACAAAAAGTTGTATTTTATTTTGTATATATTTATTATATTTTAATTATTTAATGTTTATTTTATTTTAATATAACAAGCAATTAACTAGATGAATTTATGTTGAGAACATTTAAGGATATAACTGATCTAAAGTGTTTGGTATCCATGTGTAAGAAGATGCAGAGTTTGGTCGAATATAAGCTAAAGTTTAGGGATAAAAGAAAGGGATATATGAGAGTGGAAATGGATTGGAGTGGAGAGAGTTTCTAGTTACATTCCGAATTTTCCCATTTTATATTAATATCGAAATTTCAATATACCCTTCCATCTGTATGCCTTCGCATTCTCTATCCTTTAGCTGAAATGCCTCTGCGCTAGTGCATTTTGGCGCTTGGCTCTCAATGGCGCCTCAGGAGTCCCGAGAGAGAGAGAGAAGAAACTGGCGCAGGCGCTATTCGGATTTTGTCGCTCTCTCTCTCTCTCTCTCTCTCCTTCGCTCATTCAACCTTTTTATTTACTCTCCAACATTTCAGTCTGTCGTTGGCTATCCTCCCAAACCCCCCTGCACCCCAAGCCCCCCTAAAACCACCCACCGCCTGCTGCTGCTGCTTGGTTCCTGTTCCATTGTTATTGTTGTCCTGATTTTTTGGCAAGAGAATTGTGTCGCTCGTATGTATCTTTGACTGGCCCAAGCCCTCCACGAAAAACCCTCCCACTAAGTAATAGGAATTGCAATTGCAACCATTTGCTAGACGAAGGGTTTTTCTTTAGAGGGCGCTAAGGGGCAAGGGGAGGGTAGCTCTTGCTAAAAGCGAAATGAAAATTGACATGGAAAACGAGTTTTTCATTCAACAACTGGAAAAAGGCATTTGCATTCGCATTCGCAATGGCAATGGCATCAATCTGCATTTACATATATATATATTTTTTGGAGGGGGCGTGGCATGTGTTCATTTTAATTGTAATTGACAGTTAAACTTTTAGCATTGAACCACTTAATGCCACTTTTTGACTTTGTTTGGCCAAAAGTGAAAGTCGTGCATAGATTACTCCAGTATGTGCGTGTGTTCGCAGTTTTTTTCTGCTTCATCAGAAAATGTAGATTAGAGGGGCGATTAAAATGATTTGATGTAGATAGGTTTCACTTTACAGCTCCAGTTTCTATAGTTTCTGCACGGCTTACGCCAGGTGTCTTAATCGATGCCATTTATTAGCATAATCAAACCATTTTCATTCATTCGCAGACAATGCAAATCGCTGCGTTTATGATGAAGAAAAATAATTCAAATTAAATTAAAATATTCATAAACGAAATTAGATAAGCTTACAGGAGTTTATCTTACATCTGAAAATGAGATGTAAAGTAGTAAAATATTTCTCTTTCTCTAGATAAGCTTTACTGTGAGTTCTGTCAATTTCAGCAAGAATTTTTAAATACTTTTGAGAAATCAACAAGGGATCTGTCAATAATCTCAACAAGTTTCTTTCTGTTTCTGTATAATAAAGTCAGATTTCAACTAGGCTCAATTGTCATTGTCTCTCTGGAACAGTTGAATTTTGAGAATCTCTTCCATCTATTTGGCGTTGCATTTCCTGCACGAGATATGCGTCCTACAGTTGTAAATTAAGTGTCCGCTTTCATTATCAGAAGGTCTCCAGTTAATTGGGTCATTTAGCGTGGAAGTATAGTCGAATCTAACTCGAGCGAGAGATACGATTTACAACTAATGCACATCCATTGAGAGCACTTGCTCAAACATCCTCTCTCGGCTAACAAGTGGCTGTTGGAGTGGGCTTCCATATCTGAAGTGGGGTTGGCTCTTCCATTCAATGCTTCACAAGTGGGTCACATTGAAATAATAATACTCTCGACTAATATCTAGAGCGGATGTGTGTATCATAGAGCGAGGCGTTTGAGTTTGCTCATGCACTTGGCAAACTTTTCCGCTTCTTCTTCACATCTCTGTTTAATCCTCAACCTCAGCCAGCAAAAGTCCACAAATGATACAAAGACCATGAGCCTTGGCTGAATATCAACAAATGTACATGGTCAGCTTTCAAAGGGGGAATGGGGAAAAGGGGGAAAAAGGTTGAGATTGCAGTGAGAAAAGCGTGTGGGAAATAAAAAGCAGTCACAACCTGCCTGGCCATAAAGCAGGAAAGTGAAAATGCCATGCAATGCAATGGCCTGTGGCTTAAGCAAATTTTCCGCATTGTTTTCCATTGTCTCTCCTTCTCCCTCTCTCTCACTCTTTCTGTCTTTTTTCCTTTTGTTTGTTTTTGTTTTTTATTTTTTTTTTTTATATTTGCATATGCCACGACAATAACAATTAATCTGTAATTTTACACGGCTTTTGTCTCAATAAGCCCATTGCCAATATGTCGTTCTGTTCTGTTTGAGTATACAATCTCGCATCTATACAACGGGGACTATATCTGCACATAAATATGTATGTATTTGCCTGCAATATATTACTATACGATCAATGTTTATCACTCGAAGCTGTTCTCTAGAGACGGGGGCATTGAACTGCAGCTGCGGCCATGCAATTCACACGAGTATTACGAGGAGTCCATATACGACGATTTAATCACTCCCAAGTTTCTCTGCAAAACTTTTAACTAGACCCAAAATCCACACTAACTAACAGAGAAACTGAGGCACAGAGTGTGCCAGAGAGTGATAGAGAGAGGGGTATGGCGCGAGGCAGTGAAGGAGCTGCAAATTGTGCCAGGGGGTCCAACTAGCTGATAGCTGGTAGCCAGTGCAGCAAGTTTTCCACTTTTATTTTCTCACATTTAAAAACATTTAACAGTTTTTCACAGCGAGTTACAGCAAGAGAGGGAGAGATAGTGCAGGAGAAGAGATAGAGGGTAATGGCTGCATGCATATTATACCTGATGTTCAGTCTGCACAAAGTAATGCTTGTAGCCTGGCGTCCGAACGAGTAATACAGTCAGTCAGTCAGCCATCCAGCATACAGTGAGACGAAGCATACAGCATACAGAGCGAAGTATGTAGCATAAATAAGGAAATGCACTTTTTCATTAAATATATAAACGGAAAAAAAATATTATAATTACTATAAAAAAGGTTGAGCAATTTTGAAAAATATTCAGAATATTTATTCCGTTTATAGAGGAATAGAACTATCGATAAATGTTAAGACTATGGGCTAAATAAATTTTCATAATGTGTATAATATTTATTACTAGCTATTACTGA